CTTAGCTGCAAGAGGAGGCATACATCCAGGCCCTGCAGTGTGCATGTGCCTGGGCAAAGGTATCCTGGTAGAATCAAACTGCTGCTGATATGTTGTGATTCACTAGATTGCAATGCCTTTACTCGACCTCCTCACAGGACTATAGGTGACCCGCAAATAGCTGCACCCTTAAAAAGTCCCACCCAACATGGATGGCAACGTCCCCAGGGCTTCAACGATGGGGTCTCCCTGTCTTAGCCTTCCACCTCCTACATGCTCTAGTACCTCCCGAGACCACATGCAGCTGGGAAGGGGGACGAGAGGGAGTAGTGACAAGGGGCTGCAGTCTGAGGTGGGGATCAGACGGCCCAGCCTCCCTCCTGGGCATGGATGCTGATGATCCCAGGCTTTGGAGAGTGTGGTTCAAACAAACAAACACAGATGCAGTGTTAAAGGTGCCAACAGCCATGCCATGCCCAGGACGGCATCCCACAACAGCCTTCTTCATTCCTGCCCTTCCTTGAGATATTTTCAGGATGGATAATCAGAAAACTTCCCGGGTGGGTCAGAGCAAAGGGGGGTGAGCAGAAAGCCCCCTTCATTCAGACAAAGTAGAGTGCAATGGCCACAGAGGGGTCCTGCTCACTTAGTGATGGTGACATCCTTCAAAAGATCTGATTAGGCCTTTGTGCTGTAAATGTTTGGTTTTGAATTTATGTTTCACAAAGTAAGGAAGTCTGTTGCCTTTCTGTGTGAATAGTGGAACATCAGCACGCCGGCGCCCCCTGGTGTATGCCTTTAGAATCTTGACTTTAGTCTACTGCAAGCAGCAGCCCTGGGCTTGCCTGCTCCAAACAGCCAGCTGGGTACTTTCTGCCCTTCAGGAGCTGAGCTGGATGAACCAATGAATGGCATGAGGGAAAAGCCCAGGCTCAGAAAGGAGGGGAGAGGAAAGTGGGGAGACCTGTACAGAACGTGAGGGGGTGAAAAGAAGGATCACCGAGAAGGTGGTGTGGAACACCAGAAGCAAGCAAGGGAGTGTGTAGCCTTTTGTGTGAGCTCCTCGTGTTGCAAGCTGCTTGACACTGTGTGTGAACCAGAGCCATAGATCTGTAAAGGTCAGGACTGCTGAGCAGCGCAGCCCCTAGTCTGTGTCCTTGTGTTCCACGGGACCCCACTTTTACTCTTAGGGGAGGAAGGAAGACAGAGTCTGGTTGTGATGCAATTCACTTTTACCCTTTAAAGCCAAGGGCAGCTTGTGCTGCCACAAACCATGATGACCCAGGCCTGGATGTGTGCATCAAGTTTCCAGACAGCAGGGGAGAAGGTCCCATGGCTGCCTTGTGCATCCGAACACAGCCACTCCTGAGAACACTGGGTTGCATGTTTAGCACACTTGGCAAGTGCAATGAATGTTCTATTCCAACTGGCGGCATAATTTCATGTGTCCACAGAGTTTCCTCCTGCCCTTATTACTACAGAGTGAGTGGCCTCACAGTCTGAGGTTGAATACACTGTGGGGTATTCACTCTAAAGCATATTATTAGCACCATGCGTCTTATTCCAGTCAGTCCTTGAAGCCTAGCAAACGATGCTAACAGGGTTAAAGCAGTGTGTGAAGGAGTAGAGTCTTCCACAGGGAGCCCATCCAAGGAGTCCTGGAACCCAAAGAAATAAAAGAGTTGAATTCTTGTCAGAGAATTCATCTTATGAGTGGACAAGAGGCTTTCCCAAGCTACAGTTTCTGTCCAATATGCGTCTTTCTTCACAGAGCTCTCTAGAGTCGTGAGCACCAGCCAGAATTAGCTGGAGGGCCCTCTATTCTTGCCTACAAGAGGAAGTACACCTCCATGCCTGGCAATCTCCATGTACCTGGGCAAAGGCATTCTAGAAGTTTAGAATGATTATAATGATCAAAAATACGGTAGAGAATATTCAAATAAGGTATACCATGTCAAGCCCTGCAGTTCGCAAGCACACATGCAGGTATATTCACACAAATAAATACAACACGCACACCCTGCCACAGTGGCCGTGTGGCAGACAGTTAATTACTCATGTGCTTTGTCTCTTGTTACCCTTGAGATACAACCATAAGTGAGGACACAGTAGTAGTCAAAGGGCAAGAGGACTTGTGACCATTATGTGCATGGTATCTAGCGTTCCAGCACTGACTTTGGTAGTAAATAAGTATAGCTCTGATGCCTAGGTACCTTGGATAGCCCCAGAGCATCCTTGATAATGTAGAAACATGTGCAGGCTGCTTAGTTTTCTTATGCCTCCAAGAAGTGTGTGTGAGTGGTATTATAAGACAATGCAGTGTTGATGATGCAGTTTGGACCCAGGTTAGGTTCAAATGACTTATGTGGAAAGCAGCATAAATGCTGTCTTTAAATGCTGGCTTAGGTTTTCCTGTGTGGGTTTTGTTTGTATTGCAGTACCTGGGCCTTAAACATGCTAGGCCAGTTGAACCGTGGGCTTTGTATTTGCTAGGTCAGTTCTCTACCACTGGCCTGCATTCCCTTCCTGTTACAATTCTTTTACTTGTTTTTTGAGATAGGTTCCGGGCAAGTTTCCCAAGATGCCTTAAACTTGGCACTCGTCCTTCTTCAACCATGTGAGTAAATGGGATCACAGGCCCATACCTCTAGGCTGAACTACCATCAATTTTCTTAACCTCAAACTGTTTTCAAACTTGTATTTCTTTTCTAGAGCTGTCATGTTAAAGTACTTGTACCACAAACTGTGTGACGTAGACAAGTGTACCTCACAGTTCTGGAGGAGAGAAATGTGAAATCAAAATGTCAGCTGACTATGTATGCACTTTCTGAAACCTAGGGTGGAAGGGACCACTCCTTGCATGCTCCTTGCTTCTTGTGTTCTTCAATGTCTCTGACATTCTTTAGGTGCATCAATTTACTTTTCTTTCCTCACATGAACAACCCCCCATCTCTCTTTTAGTTTTTCCAGACAGGATTTTCCTGCAAATCAGTCCTGGCTTTCCAGGAACTCACTCTGTAGACCCGGCTGGCTTTGAACTCACAGATCCACCTGCCTCTGCCTCCTGAGTGCTAGAATTAAAGGCATGCACCACCATTGCCCAATACATATACATCTTTATGCATATTTGTGTTCAATCTCCCTCCCACATTTCTGTGTGTATTTGTATATGTTTATGTGTGTATTATATGCTTTTGTGTGGATGTGCCTGCATGTGTGCATATGTAAATCAGGGGTTGACATGTTGCATCTTATTTGAATGTTCTCCACTTTATTGTTTGAGATAGGGTCTCAATGAACCTAAGGTCACCAACAGGCCTACAGGAACTGGCCAATGAATGTCACCCACTCAAGAGGAACTGGCCAGTGAATCTTCAGATTTCTCCTATGCCTTCCTCCGCAGCACTGGATTTTTGCATGGGTGCCGGGCCTGACTTCATCTCCAGTTTTTCAGCTCGCACTTTACTGGCAGAGCCATTTCCTTAACTTTCTAATCGTCCCTACTTTATAAGGACACTAATCATACTGGAGCAGGGCCTGCTGTAACTTTAAGTTGATCTCTCTGTGAAGACCCTGTTTCCAAATAATGATATATTTTTTTTCAGTGCTGAGGGTTAGGACTTCAATGCGTCTTTTCAGGGTCAATAATTCAACACATAAGAAGATAACAATCTGGCATATAGTACAAAATGAAGGTTGTCCTTTTTACTTCTTTAAACCAGAATTTTATTTTAAATGTTTCTCATATCAGTTTTAAGACTTACTTTCTATCTAAATCCTATGTCTTTATCTATATTGTTATCTTGTGTTTCATCAACTTTAGACACTGTTGACTTCCTGTTGTGATAGATGAGATTGTAGTTTATTTCTCTTCCTCTTTCTATGTGCATATATTAAACCCTCAATTATGGAAAGTGATCAAACCTATATATATCACAACTCAGCTGATTATGATGTCCATTCTTGCAGGGTTTTTCCTTTTTTTCCACAAATCTCTCTTTTTTTGCCTATGCTATTTTTTTACTAATTGCTTTCATTTTTTACGTACTGACCACAGTTTCCCCCATCCTCTCCTCCTGTTCTCTCCACCTTCTCTTCTCCCTCCATCCACTACTCCTCCATCTCCATTCAGAAAGGGGCAGGTCCCCCAGGGGAGTCAACAAAGCATGCCACATCAAGTTGAGGCAGGTCTAAGCTCCAACCCTTGCATTAAGGTTGGGCAACCCAGCTTGGGGATTGGATTCCCAAATGCAGCTAGAGTGTCAGTCAAGAGACAGGTCTTGATCCCACTGCTGGGATCCCCTCAAACAGACCAACCTACACAACTGTCACACACACATGTAGAGGACCTCCCAAGTAGTTGGTCTAGAGTCACTGAGCTCCCATGAGCCAAGTTCAGCTGTCTCTGTGAGTTCTCCTGCCATGAGTTTGACCCCCCTGGCTTGTACAATCATTCTTCTCTCTTCAACAGGACTTCAAGAGCTTGGCTCAATTCTTGACTGTGGATATCTGCATCTGCTTCCATCAGTTACTGGATGAAGGACTCTCTGATGACAATTAGGATAGTCACTAATCTGATTACGGGAGAAGGCCAGTTCAAGCACCACAGATATAATATTTCTTCTGATAGCACTCCATAACAAACATCTTGCACTTTTAACTTGAGTCAGTTTTCTGTTTCGCCTGCTTTTTTTTGAGAGAGAGTGAGAAAAAGGATGTGTGAAGTATATGTTACATGTTTGTGAGTGAGCATGCATGCGTGCCTATGCTTAGAGACCAGAGAAAGTAGGTGTCTGTATCTATTATTCTCTGAATTGTTTCTTTGAGACAAAGTCTCTCACTGAACCTGGAGCTCTTGGTGTTTTCTTTCTTTCTTTTACCAGCTAGGCTGACATGTTGCAAGTCCCAGTGATGCTACCATCTCTGCCCTCTCTACTGTCCTCAGTGTTGAAATTGTGGATGTGCTTGTGGGCCTTGTAAAGATTTTACTGCGGTTTTAGCTTATGAAATCTGGTACTTACACTGCTTGCAAGGCAAATTCTGTTAATCACTGGGCCATCACTCCAGCCTCCAGAGTCAGTTTTCTGATGAAGCTGATCTGTACAAGAGACAATAAATGTATGCATTGGGATTATTAATTTTAATTGAAAGAGAGTCAGTCACAAATGAACATTCTAGAAATTTGTTTCATACCCTTTGTATAAACTTTATATAGAAAGAATTGCTTGTTTTCTTTGGATGTGTCTATTAAATCTCATTCGGGCACTGAGCTACTCAGGATTATTGGCCTTTGTTTGTTTTAGAGTTATTTATTTTTATTTTATAAGTTCAAATGTTTTGTGCACCACACCTGTACCTGCTGCCTACAGAAGTCAGAAGAGGGTTTCAGATCCCCTGTAACTGGTGTTATGGATGGATGTGAGTCATAATGCAGGTCCTGGGAATCTGCTCCGTGGCCTCTGGAGGAGCAACAAGTGCTCTTAACCACAGAGTAATTTCTCCAGCCTAGACAGGCCTGATTTTTACGATGGTTTCATCTAAACATTTTAGATTTTAATTAAGTTATGTGATTTCCTTAAAAATATTAAATGAAATAATGCATTAATGTAGATGAAAGAGGACATTTCATATTTTTGTCTTTTCAAAAGAGTATTTCAGTTCTTAGAAAACATCAATTTTGACTTTTCAATAGTAGTAATCATTAGAGGTTAAAGAGTCTATAGCTAAATGGGGTGACTTTGTTTTCTTTAAACCAGACTATGTGTCATCCCTTATCTCTGACTTTCATTTCTTCTGTGACACCATTGCCATCTATTTCTATATTTTTGGCTTCCAAGTTTCTCTGGTGAAAAAGCAATATCAGCCTCAATGGTGTTTCTGTTTGGAACTGAACCATGACCCTACCTGTGGAAAAGACTGAGGATGTCTTCAGTGTTCTTATTCCCTGTTTTCTCTTCCCCTACACCTGGGTGTGAGGGTGCTCAGAGATGCTGTTTGCAAACTTGAAAAGAGTCTACCAAAGAACTTAAAACACTATCAAAGGGAGGAACCACATGTGACTTTTACTTCTTATCCTTTTTTACTTGACCATGGGTTAGGCTGCATGTCATTTGATAGCACGCTGGAGAGGCATGCTACTCATGGACAGCCACCCTGTCCTCCATTTCATGGATGAATGCCTTTTGTTCATGAGATGTAGGCTCTCAGACTTATCATTTTTGAACAGTAATGGGAATATTAGTAGCATATAGCACATAGTGTTGATATGAAAAGAAACATTACCTTTAGTTTAACATGTTGTCTGGAGGGTAAGATGCCACAATATCAATATTTCTGCAATAAAATTACAAAAATTAATCAGTATGCTTGCCATTGTGCTAGATTGTTTTATGGGCAGGGATGGGGTTAGGGGTGACTCACAGATAGAGGTTCTAGTTTTTCAGAAACTCCATTTCATAGAGATACGACATGGAGTCTTTCTTGGTCTTCAGTCCAAAATGAGCAGGGAATAATTCTTGTCACAGGAATCCAACTCCCACCATTGTGCCCATCTCTTCTTTCTCCGGAGCTCTCTTCTTGGCCGGTTCCAGTCACCATCTCTCTTAACTCTGCTCCATAATTGCCGTTCCCTCTTTATACACCATCAAGTGGTTTGCTTCTTTCCTTCTCATTTTCGTTTAACTATCACCTTAACAGGGAAGTTCTGATTACACTACCTCTTAGAAAACAATAGTATCCTCCCACTCAGCTTTATTTTGTCCAGACCAGGAACACTCAGGTACATTCTACAAATTTATTTTAAGCTTAATCAGAGCAGGAACTGAAAACTTCAGCACTGCCAACAGCACCCGATGTCTGTGTGCGTGTGTGTGCAAGTGTACATGCTGTGTTTAGTAGGAATTTGTTGAACCGGTGAGTAGGACAAAAGGACCTTTTATGTATACGAATGGAAGTTTTCAAGAAGCATAAGGAAAATTAACATTTGTAGAGAGATAAGGGTAGAACAGGGCTTCTAGGTAAAAGGTACAGAACTAGCACAGGCAAACAGGCAAGAAACTAGTTCAATAGCAAAACAATCGGAGCATGGTTTCCTGTCACCACTGACTACATTAAAAGGTGCTCTGGAAAAGTCACAGCTTTAGCTTCCGGCTAAGGTCCCGCCCACTTTGGCAGATCGTGCCCCCGGACCTCCAGCACCACAGGCTCCGCCCCTAGGGGGAGAGGTGGGAGGAGTCGCGCAAGCGCATTCGTGCTTGGGCCAGCGCCCGGGCCTTTGGGCCAGAAGCTGCGGTGTCACGCAGTCTGATTGAGACTGTGACGGCAGTGGCAGCAGCAGCGGCAGCGGTCTCGGTAGCGGTGGTGGTGGTGGTGGCGGCGGCGGAGGCGGCGACGGCGGCGACGGTGGCCATCCAATGGTCGTGCTGTAGCCTGACGCCACCTTCCCTCAAGGCGGCACGGAAGCAGGAATGTCGCAGATGCCGCCTCCGCCGCCGCCGCTTCTTGGCTGGCGCCTGCTTGGCTTCAGCTTGTTGCTAAGCTCCTTCTGCTTCTCCCTGGAGTCTGCAGCGCTAGATAACTCCTCTACAGGTGCCAATTCCTCATTCTTTACCCTACCCAACCTTGTCACTGTCCCTGCTAATGTTTCTTCTTTCATCCATCCTATCTTCTTTTTTCTCTCCTCCTTCATCCCTTTCCCCCACATTTGCATTCCTACCTACCCTCTACACATTTTTCCTTCCTTCCACCTGTTCAGCCTGCATTAATCTTTCATCCATTTCTCCTTCCTACCTCTCCTCCTTTCCATCCCTGCATGCTTTTGCTCCGTCATCTCATCTTTCCGTTTCCGCTGATTTTTCTGAGACTTTCATAAGTGCATGCAACATATTTTTATAACACTCACTCCCCATTCCAATTCCAACCCCTTACTCCGCCCCGAGCCTCCCCCCCCCCAACTTCATGTCCTCTTTTTGTTTTTAATCCCATTGAATCCAGTTTGTGGTTCCCATATACACATGGGTGTGGGGCCACTCGTTTCATCTAACGGTCCATCCTTTCCCTCCTTCTATCCATTTTCCTTCCATTCCCCCTCCTTCCATCCTCCCCTCCCTTCCTTCTCCCTCCCTTCTGTTCATCCTTCTTTCGTTTAACTGTCTTTCCATCTGTCTTCTCTATTCCTTCCGTCTCTTGGTGCTTTCATCCCCCAATCCCCAGTCTCTGTCTGTCTGTCTTCTTCAGTTAGGTGTGAAGATATGGCCAATACATAACACTCTTACCCTAGATTAGGGCTTCTGTGCACTCACTCTTGCTGAAGCAGAGCCCTGGTTGCCCCTTTTCTAGATGGACTGTTAAGGAGCAGGGACCAACCTTGATCTTTTCATTACCTTGATGGTAGTCGGGTTTCAGTGTCTGTGTATGTGATGTAACCAAAGCCCCTCCCTCCTGTGCAGATGCTCTGAATGTCCTTCTGATTATTGTGGATGATCTTCGCCCCTCCCTGGGCTGTTATGGAGAGAAGGTAGTGAGGTCCCCAAACATTGACCAGCTGGCGTCGCACAGCGTTCTCTTTCAGAATGCCTTTGCACAGGTATGTCTGGGGATCTTTAGTTGTGCCTTTGCGCCTCTTTGTGTATGCACAGAGGGAGTTGCTTGTTGCTGCCCTAGAGATGACCTCCTTGAAAGAGGGAAGCAGAGCTTGGAAAATGGAGGCCTAGGCAAGCCTGTTCCCTACTCACAAGGAAGCTTGTGCCTACAAGGCTCCCCTCCTTCTTGGGTGGAGACTCTTCCCTGCCCTGACATGTTTAAGACAAGCTTGGCCAGCTTTCAGCCAGAAGCAGCAAATGCCTGGAGCTGAAAAATCCAACCTATGGCTCTGCCAACTGAGTTGTGAGTGACTAAGAGTTGTCCTCTCTGATACCATTGTCAGGACTGCCCTCCCACACACACACACACCACACACACACACACACACACACACACACACACACACACACACACCACACATGCACTCTGGGTACCTAGGGGTGCCATTGCATAGGAAAACACACACAAACACACACAGAGAGACACACAGATACACACACACACACACACAATCTGTTGTTTTGAGAGCCTGATAACTGTTTTCCTTTGTTCAGAAGACAACAATCTCTAGTGCATGGGTGAGGCCTAAATCCCACTGGTTAGCTTTGAGATCTGCATGACTCAGCTGCCAGGCAGTTGCTGAGGATCTAGAGAGGTTGCTTAGTTACCTTGAAGACTGCAGATATATTTGGCTGTGATGATGTTGACATTTGCTTCTGCTCCCTAACAGCAAGCAGTGTGCGCACCAAGTCGAGTGTCCTTCCTCACCGGGAGGAGGCCTGACACCACCCGACTGTATGACTTCAACTCCTACTGGAGGGTACACTCGGGGAATTTTTCCACCATCCCCCAGTACTTCAAGGAGAATGGCTACGTGACCATGTCGGTTGGAAAAGTCTTTCACCCTGGTACTGCTCAATTACCAAAGCCTGGGCTACCTGTTTCTGTGCCTGAATACTGAAATCCTTTGCTGGGTTGGGACTATCTTTGTAGTGATCTTTCCTGACAGGGTGGGCAGCTTGTTGTTCATTTCTGCTGTTCTATGAAACAACAAGAACAAAACAAAAACACTTCTTTAACCTAGTTTCATGTTCACAGCCCAAATGAAACAGAATAGAAAGGAACTGCTTTCCTTTAGAAGTTAGTAGTGATGCTTTGGGATTTATCCTGCTGCTTGGGGTGTGGAAGTACACTGGCTGTTGGAGAGGCACTTGTGTCAGTTTAGCTCTGAACCTGACCCTGTGCTTTGCAGGGTGCCTGTCTGTAAAGTTGGGTGTAAGGCAACTGCCTCTGAGGACCTTGATTGTCCCGAGGTACTGTGTGGACTGGATGTGCAGTTAAGAGCTACAGATTAGGGGAATCTAATGCTTTCTCTGTGAGTAATGTCAGAAAGAGGAAGTAAGTTGAGTGTCATTTGAACTTTGAATACTACAGAATAAACTGGTTGTTTACTTCCTAAATGAAGCATAGATACCATTTTAAAATGGTGATAGAAGGATCACTTGATTTCAAGAATGGAAAGAAACCAAAGAATAGAATGTATAATTGCACCACTCTGAGGAAAGCCGCATTTGACGTATTCCTGCCTGTTTTCTGGACATAGTATTTTTCTGATTCATAGTTATAATTTTATACCTCGAGTGAGACTAAATATTTTCCCATTATATTATGTTCCACCAAAAAGCCCTTTTTAATGATAGCACAGTAATCTGGCATGTCATTCAGGTAATTTTGGCTTTTCACCACCATGAACAACTCTGGAAGCAGAATAGACTACCTGATTGTGGTCTCAGTGCTGCCACTACTTAGCCATGCAGCTAACTTTGAGCCTCACATTTCTTATCTGGGAAGCTGGGGCTGTAGTTGTTCTGATGCCCTACCAGGGAGCATGTCAGTGTGACCATTCATGAGTGTGAAGTGTGTTCAGAGTGCTAAGTCCATGGTGATGCTCATCACCGAAGGAGACAACTTGAGTATCTCCAAGAATCCTGTACACATTGATTAGACCTTACAGGCTTAGGAACTTTCTTCTGTAACCTAGCTGTCAGTCCAGGTTGAGAATAGCAGTCAGGTGGACTATGCCTTGCTCAGTTTTGAAAATAAATGTATCAGAAATCCTTTTGTGTAGCCTAAAGCTGAATAGCAGTTAAACTTCCTAATTTGGTACTTAGAACACTTGCCTAAGGGCAACTGGAGGGAAGTGGATATTTTCTAGAGGAGATTATACTTTGGGAAGGGAAACCAAACAAGGCCTGTGTGTTCATTGATCACCTTCCTGATGACTAGATTTAGAGATGGGGTTCTCTGTGTCTTACAAACCCTTACTTTCAAGCCACTTCTGTGCTCTGGACAGCTGCCAGCTCTTTCTTGGTTTCATATGCTATTTGTTTTGCTTGGTACATAGTAAACTACTAAGCTTTGGTCTGAAGTTACGCTTTGCAATTGCATAGTTGATCTTGGTGCTGATGGCATGGGTTTGAGTCTTGGCTGTTTCATCTATTGGGTTGGCACTGTGCAAGGCCTGAGCCTGCTCTCAACCTCTGTGCTCATCTGTCTCATGGTATTGACAGTGCTTTTGCTTTCTCCTTGGGTGGTTGTTGCTTGCATGGTGTGTGTAAGAGTCTACAGCTTAGGCTCCAAGGAATTGTACTGATATGCCAGGCTAGCTGATCTTGTCATTTTGAGGCTTAACAATTGGGAAGTTAGATGCTCAGTACTAAAATGATGGCCTGGATAGTTGTTCTTAGTGGAATGCATCATCTAGCTTGAGCTCTTGATTTTATAGGTGAGGAAACTGATGCCCAAAGAGGGGATGAGCTACTTGTGTTGTTGTCCAATTTTAATTTGGCAGTGGGGTACTGAAAGACCTTTCACATTTTATTCAGCAGCTTTCTTTCCCCCAATTCAAGGTATATCTTCCAATCACAGTGATGATTCTCCATATAGTTGGTCTTTTCCACCTTATCATCCATCATCAGAGAAGTATGAAAACACTAAGGTAAGGCTGTACAAGGGTCGAGGAAGCACTGTCTTCTTGCCTAGCAACCGAACTATTAAATATATTGTATTTTCCTTTAAACTGGTTATATTGTGATGTTTGTAACTTTTGTTTGTTGTAATGGCTTATAGAAAGAAGCATTAGGATCTTTAGCAATTGCTTTGATAGGCACAGTGATTACTTTTTGTTGAGATTATTTTTCATAATGTTTTACTAAATAGTCCAGGCAGGCTGGTTTGGAACCTAATCTGAAGCCCAGGCTGACCTCAGACTTGGAATCTTCCTGCATTAGCTTCTCTCATACTGCTGGAATTAGAGGCATGGGCCACCACACCTGGCTGATAGGTTTCTCAGTCTAAATCCTTATGTTGGTCCAAGGACATAGCTTAGTCAGTAACGTTCTTGTCCTAGAGGCATGAGAACCTGAACTCAATCCCTACCACCCGTCAAGAAGCCAATACTGGGGACATGAGTAGGTCCCTGGAGCTTGCTGCCCAGCTAGCCTAGCCTAATGTCTCAGTGCGACACCCTGTCTCAAAAACCAAGGTCGATAGCTTCTGAGGAAGAGCTGATGTTGACCCCTACTTTTCGTGTATACTATCCCCCCAAATATGCACTGGCAAATATACAAACACATATGTGAACTTATATACAAATAAATTAAAACCTTAACCTTAAACAATAGTCTGACCAGTTCACTTAGTGGGTTTTTGATGCTCACTCTGGATGAAGTATTGAGGTAAGGATTGTAAATGTTGATACAGTTTTTGATAGTTTATTGGGGTATCCTTTAATTAATTATGGCCTGGAGACAGAATTCACAAGAATGAACTGAACAGTATGTGTGTTTTTGTCCCTGTCTGGAGAAAGGACAAACACTTTTCTCGTTAAGTTCTGCTTCCGATGTGCAGTGTTCATTCTGAGTGACTTAACAGTTTGAGGGCTGGTGATAGTGCTATTTCTTCAGTGTATGACTGTCAGGATTTCTGTTTATTGTATTTAATAGACTGATATTATGCATTTTGTTTTGAAAGACATGTAGGGGACAAGATGGAAAACTCCATGCCAACCTGCTTTGTCCTGTGGATGTGGCAGATGTGCCTGAGGGCACCTTGCCTGACAAACAGAGCACAGAGGAAGCCATTCGGTTGTTGGAAAAGATGAAAACATCAGCCAGTCCTTTCTTCCTGGTGGTTGGGTATCACAAGCCACACATCCCTTTCAGATACCCCAAGGTGATAAGCTGCCTTAGGGCTGATCCAACACAGCCACTATTATCTGTGTTACTTAGTCACCAGAGAGGCATTTGTGTATCAAATGTGGTCATAACCCACCAGGATACCTAATGGGTACTAGTGTATTTGGAATGATGATAGTCAAAGTTCAAGGACAAAAAGTAATTTTACAACAAGTAAGAATCTTGTAATAAATGTTTAGGTTTCTCCTTTCCTCCATTGGATGTTTGATTTCTTTTGTTTGAACTTATCATGCCGATGGGATCGTATAATGATGTCATACAGAGGTGAGGCAAAGCTACCAGAAGCCCAAAGCCATTGTCTTTGGTAGAAAAATCTCAGGAAACATGAAACCCTCTTCCCCAAGTGTCATTCCTCTCTAAGGTTGTCATTACCAGACCCTGTAAGCACAGGAGGCAGAATTTCTGGTTGATACCTCAAATTTTATGCTTCTCTATATCATTTAGAATTTGTAGTCCTTTTTAATAATTTCCAGTTTTATGTTTTCTTTTTCCTGGGCCTGAGCAGCCCAGCCTTTTCATATTACAAAGAATATCCCTTGGTTATAAATGAGAGGACAGAGCTGGAAGTATGCTCTTTGACGTAGGCATCTTGTTTGGTGAGCTTTGAGGATCTTGCCCTCACAGCAGGAACAGAGCTGGAAGTATGCTCTTTGATGTAGGCATCTTGTTTGGTGAGCTTTGAGGATCTTGCCCTCACAGCAGGAACTGTTAGCCCCTTTGGAAGAGTCTTGTTCCTGCATCTTCTGCTTCCTTGCAAAGCTGCCTAGCTGGAAGACTTTCAGAGGTCTGCTTATAAGGCTGGCCCTTGTCTGGCAACTGGCAACTTTGATTTGGGAGTGTCTAAGTGTTTTTGGCAGACATGGTATAAGCTGAATCACTGCTTTCCTTATGGAAGCCTGAAATTTTGTTCTGGTCCAGGCAGAGTGCCTACGTGATGAACCCCATGTCAAAACTGGGTGCTGCAGTTTTAATGAGCCTCACTGATTGGTAGCATTTTATATGCACCATCTTTCAACTAGCTGGAGCAATAAGTGCCTCCTTTGTGAAATCCCTGGGAAGGACTCTGAAATTCATCCTTGGTCTCCAGATTTGGCCTCATGTTGGTTTTTTCTTTGCTGATTGAGTGTGAAATATTTTTTCTAATAAAGGATCACTTTAAATGGGACCTTCTGCTAAGTCCTGTGAGTTCTCCTTATGACTCACAGAAGCTGAGGGAGATTTTGGGAGCCCACAGTGGTTGGCCCATGCCTTTTTATGTTGGGATTAAGGCGGGGACAGGAGCAGGAGGGCACATGTCTATGAGAGGAGAGAACAGTTGTTGCTGCCGTTGTAGGAAACATGTTTTAGGGTTTTGCTGCTGTTCCAGTGTTATGAGAGTGGCTTAAGACAGAGAGCAGGTGAGAGTGTGTGAGTAACTGGTAAGCATTAGCACCAAGTAAATGTATCATAGGCTTTCAGAAAACACAGCCCTGTGCTTTTGCCCTTATGGCTTTGTATGTTTTTCTCCTAGGAATTTCAGAAGTTGTATCCCTTGGAAAACATCACTCTGGCTCCTGATCCCCAGGTCCCTGATGGCCTGCCACCTGTGGCCTACAACCCCTGGATGGACATCAGGGAGCGGGAAGATGTCCAAGCCTTAAACATCAGTGTGCCCTATGGCCCAATTCCTGTGGATTTTCAGGTACAAGTGGTATACATGGGGCATATATGAGGCACTGATGGTGTGATACCATTGGTGAGGCCACATTTAAATTCAGAGCCAACCTACTTACATAATGAGTTCAAGCTCCACCCAGGCTAAATAATAACCTCCTGTTTCCAAAAGCCAAAACAAGCAAAAGCCTTCTTTGTGACTTTTGGGGGGCAGTGGATTTCTGTTGATACTGACATGGACAGTGCTGTATAGATCAAGTCTCCTTACTAGTACATTAGCTTCTAAAGAGGGTAGCATCCAAACTTGCTATAAAGCAGACACAGGTTTGGGATATAGCTTGGGTGAACCCCTCTAGCCCATGGGGTATTAATATGGACCACAGTTTATTAATTATAGAGTGTCAGCAGCTGTGTAGAAGCCCAGAATCTTTGGTTTGCTGGTACTTTTGTTTCCTCTTTGGGAAAGCCTAAACTGGCAACTGCGACTCCTGACTGAGTGAACTGAGTCTTGGTACAGAGGGAGGTAGGAGATCATGGCTAGCGTGTGAGCTAAGATGTCTGGTGTCTATGATGCAGAGGTAGAGAAGCCTCCGAGTTAGTCATTTGGTTATGTTGACTCATCCCCTCATCCATCAGCTTCTCTTTCCTGTAAGTAAAAAAGACATGTGGAGCCGTATTCTTTCTGAAGTCTTATGTCATGAATGCTAAAGCAGGGGTAGTGGATCGATGAGGGCAGCATTTTCAAAATGTGCTTCTTGGACTGACTGTATCAGAAGATTCGCTGGGTAGACTTGTTAAAAGTACGGAGTTCTGGACCACCTATAAATATGGACATCTTTTTTCCTCTCCTTTCCTCCCTATTTTCTTTTTTTTTTTCTTTTTTGCAGTACTAGTGATTGAACCTAGGGCCTCTACAATGAACTGGGTGCCAGAAAGGGTTCTAACTGTTGAGCGTTTGGGCTGAATGAGAACCTCACTGTTGCCAGACAGGAAACTGCTGTGTGACATGGTGAGACACAGGACCTGGTGCCAAGTGGAGCTGCTTCAGTCCCATGGACACATAACTTCAGACCCCCATGGTTGCTTTAGTCAGTTCAGAAACGTTTTGTTTTGAAGTCATTTTCCACCCCATGCCAGCAGCATGACCCCTGTCAAGTCACCGTGCCTTATCTTCTTAATCAAACAGAGGCAGAATGGGTAAAGGTTTTCTGTGAGAACACTGACTTGTGGTTTTCAGTGAAGAGTATAGAGAATATGTAGAAGTATATATGGAGGGTCAGTGCCACTGGCATGGAGAGAACCCTCTTGAAGTTCTGTGCCCTTTCCTTATACGCCCTAGTCACTGGGCACAGCAGGCAGCGTAGCTCACGTAGTTACTTGGGTGATCTTATGTGAGGGGCCGTGCCTCTCATGCTTTATGGACCTGAGCCATATTCCCTGGCCCGTTGTAGCTTTGGATATCTTTCCTTAATTTCACCCCCTCCCTCCTTCAGCCTCGCAGTTTTACGCTTCGGCCTGCATCTGCACGGTTATGCACAAGCCTGGTTTTGACCTCTCCTGGCAGCGCTCTTGCCTGACATTCTTGCTGCCTCTCTTCCCATTCGTTCTTGGGGAGGAAGTCCCATGGCACAGTCCTCCTTGTTCTTGCATTCTCTCCAGCTCGCCTGTCCCCTTGACAGTACCCTAATAAGGACACAGTCCGCTGTGAGAGTTGCTGGAGAGAACCACTGTAGCTACAAAGCAGAGATTCTCAGCTTGTTTGGTGATGTAGGTCTTTTCTTACTGATGTTCTCTGCACCCTCTTTGATCACATCCTGCTATCTTCAGAAGTACCCTTTCTCTCACCTCTGCCCTGTTCTCTTCTCTTTCGGCTCTGCTCCTTCAACTACTGTTTGAGGGCATTGAAGAGTAGCCTATTCCGGCTGCATCCGTGATCTTCCTGGTCCATTTGTTCGGCATCTTTTTCTGCCCTCCTGGATCACTGAGAGTTCTCACTGTGGCAGACATTGACCTTGTTGGGAAAATCTGTCTTCTGAGTTTTCACCTTCCTTGAGCTCAGGTCTACTTTCTCATTGTTCACCAGTCTGGAGCTATCTTACTCTTGGACTTCCTTGTCAACCTTTCTGGGCCCCCATCTATTTCAGTATGCATAGCAGGGTCCTCTTCTGTCTCCTACATAGGTACTGCTCCTTGGTCTAGTTCAGTCCCCCACCTTTGCCTTTCTTCCCATTCTCCCTAGTTAGCCTCAGCTGAGTCCTGTTGTTAGATCAATCCAAGGACTACTCCAGCTTAGGCATCCCTCCTGACATTCAGACACACGTTTACCTTCTGTGAGCTACTCCCAGGCAAATGATTGCGGGTTCCCCGGTTCTGTTGTGTTCCACATGGCTAGGCACCCCTACTCTGCCTTTTCTCCTTCATCTTCCACTACGTCTCCTCCTATCAAATGGTAGCAAATTGTTCTGTCGCTGAATGTGAGTGTCACCCTTGCTTTCTCATCTTCCTCTGACACCATGCTTCTTTCCTGCCTCCACACCTGCTTGCTCCCCCAAATTCCTCTTAGGTCTGCCCTCTTCTCTGATGTGAACACATATTTCTGGACCACTGTAGTACATTTTGCTTTTTAAATTTTTCTCCATTTTTTTTGAGACACGTTCTCACTCTGTAGTCCCAGTTTAACAAAAATGCATGGTAATCCTTCTGCCTCAACTTTCCAAGCGCCAGGATTACAGGTTTTCTTTTAGCAAGTTGCTGAAATCTTCTTAGTGCCAGCAATGACCTGGTGCTATTTTGTCTAAAGCTCCTATAATTTGTGCTGCAATTGCTACAGGACTTTTGCTAACCTGTAGCCTATATTGCATTACCTCTATGTCTTGAAAGACTTCCTTAGCCTACCCTGAGACTTTCACTCCCTTGAAGAACTTCCAAGTCTATGTCATCTGGCCCTAGCCTACTGTTGTTGTCTGCCAGACTATGTTGTTACATAGTTCTGAATATGCCCTGCTATTTCATAATTCCATTCTGTTGTATGCATAACAGCTGTTGGTTTAGAGCATCTTGCATGTATTTGGTGATAGCAATGGAAGCTGCTCTGTGAAGCCTTCCCTGATTTATCCAGACCAACTAATTTGAAGGTTCATTTGCATGTCTCAGACCTGGCCCTTCTGATAATGTGTATATTTACTTATCTGTAGTTGTACCCTGGCTTAATGGGTCTGAGCATCAACCTGCTTCTTTATTGCTTTCTTTCCATGACTGGCATAGGCAGGAGGTATCTTGATCCCTAAGAGAATTGAAGTTTTCCAGGCTCCAGACTAAATAGTTTATTTACTAAAAAGTATATGTAGGCAGAGTTTCAACATAATCCTTCTATAAGCATAGGTATTTGTCACTGCAAGTAGATGAAGGGACAAGTCTCATGACTGCCCTTACCCTAGCAGTGACAAGTAGCATCTCACAGGCCCATCTCATGAGGCAGGGGCCCTGAGGATGGTAAGTGGTTCTCTTGTTTCTTCCTACTTGGGGGTAGTAGAGGGGGAGAAAAGTATTTTCCTTAAGACTTGTGAACAGTAATTGAGGAGTCAGTTCAGGAAAGTCTCCTGTACTTGTAGGTGTAGACTAGCAGTCTCAGCAGTTCCTCTTGGATTGCCCTTCATTATCTTTGTGCCCATTGAGAGTTTGTTAGAAATGAACTACACACTTGACACCTTGATCCATAAAGTTAATCAATTGCTATTTCTTGCTGGGTAAGAAAGTGCTTACAGGACAGCCCTACTTAGGGTCATTATTAGGGGTTAATTTGTGTCCCCAAAAGATACATTGAGCTCTTTCACTCCTCATGCCTCAGAATGTACCCTGCTTTAAGTTCAGATGTACTCATACTATTCAGGTAAGCCCCTAACCCAACATAACATGACTGTTGTCCTGATTAAGGAGGTCAGGTGGGGAAGAGAGTGACAGAAACAGATGCAGGAAGAGCTGCATATGATGATGGAGACAGATTGTAAGACTGTTGCAAGTCAAGAAGTGGAGGGAGCTGTAGAACAGTGGTTCTCAACTTGTGAGTCTCCACCCCTTTGGGGGCTGAATGACTCTTTCAAGGTGTTGCCCAAGACCATTGGAAAACACAGATATTTACACTGCGATTCATAACAGTAGCAAAATCACAGTTTCGAAGTAACAATGAAATAATTTTATGGCTGCGGAGTCACCACAACATGAGGGACAGTATTAAAGGGTTGCAGCAATATGGAGATTGAGAACCCCTGCTCTAGAACTTTCAGAAATGGCACTCTCCAAACCTTGATTGAGAACTTCTGGTATCCATGGCTAGGAGACAATCTGTTTCTAGTGTTTGAAGTCACCTGGTGGCTTGAATGGAGCTGAGTGATATCTTTGGCATACTCCTCATCAGATAACATGTGGCTCTGTGAATGCAGGGGTTAAGGGATCATTTTCTGTTTAGATGTTCATTTCTAGAGACTGTCTAGAATATGGAGAACAGACAGAAAGGAACACTTAATGACAACCATTTGTAATTACATGTTTACTAAAGTAAAGGCTGATTTGTTTTCAGATATGTCAGATTGGTCCTGCAGATTGTTAGTCTGGCCTCTGTAGGCAAAGGGCTACAGAAAGTAGGAAAAGGAATGTTAAGTTTAGGATAAGAACATGATCAATCAATGGAGAGGTTGAGATTGGGATGGATGTTCAGATAACTATTCTCTTTGTATGCCAAGGCAATTAAAATTGCTCTCATTCTTGTACTTTTTTTTTTCATTTGCAGAGGAAAATCCGCCAGAGCTACTTTGCTTCTGTGTCCTATTTGGATACTGAGGTTGGACATCTTTTGAGTGCTTTAGATGATCTTCATCTAGCCAACAACACAATTATTGCTTTCACATCTGATCATGGTACGCGTTTTCCAGTGCACTGGTGAATTGAACATCTCAATTTCCTGTGAAGAATACTTTGGACAGTTTCTACATACATAGGGGTACACCTGTGTAAAACAGCAGTGCTCGGAGTCCAGGGTCATGGGGAGCTCTTAAGAGCAACTTAGTTGTTCTTGGCCCTGCATCTTAGATATGTGAAAATTGAGGCAGGTGCTACATGTTTTGTCTTAGTGATCTCATCAGTGACCATGCATTTATGTGAGAGAGGGTTTGCTTTTGTGCCTCTTAATGTTTTTACAATTATGTATATGTTTGTGTGCATGTGTGTGCGTGAGGATAGTGCCTGCAGATCGCAGAAGAGGGCTGGAGTCAGGGACATTTGTGAACTGCCTGGCATGGGTGCTAGGAATTAAACTTGGGGCAGGAAGTGCTGTGAACTCCAGTCCTTGTAACATTTTTATTTTTGATTGTGAGCCTAGCCCTTAGCAGCTGAGCTATCCCTCCAGCCCTCTTGTAACATTTTCAAAACGTTAGCATAACATGGTTATGGGTGTCGTTACAACATTGTAAAACATATGTCATTATATTCTGCTCAAATTAATGCTCCCCTCTGCTGTCCTCTCCTGTATCCTCTGCTCCTCCTCCAGCTGGTTGCCTTCCTTTCCCCAGTGTTCTTCCTTCTGCTTTTGTGTCACATATATCTCGCTGACATACCCAACTGTCCTTCCTGTTCTCCCCCTTCTTTAGCATCTCTTTCTTAAAGGAAACTCTTTTAGCTCCCATTTCTAATCTAGACAATTATAGGAATTTTACTTGGACGTTCTCTACTTCCTCCTTCTCTAAAAACAGACCCTTGAGCCTCTAAGGGATATGTACTTTTTTCTCACATATTTTTTGTCTTTCATTTTTTTCTTTATTGAAAATACATTTTTTTTCCTCACACAGTATGTCCTGATTAGTGTTTCCCCTCCCTCTACTCTTCCCAGTTTCTCCCCACCTCCTCTCCTATCTGGATCTATTCCCTTTCTGTCTTTCATTAGAAAAAAACAGCTTCTAAGGCATAATAATAAAATGAAAAATAATACAATAAAATAAAAACTAACACATTGGAGTTAGACAAAACAAACAGGAGGAAAAGAGCCTAAGAAAAAGCACAAGAATCAGAGACTCACCTGTTTGTGCACTCAGGAATCCCATGCAAACACTAAACTGGAGGCCATTATATGTATTTCAGGACCTGGTGCATACCTGTCTAATCCCTGTGCATGCTGCCTCAAGTTTCTGAGTTCATATGAGCTTTCATCATGTTGATTTAGAGGGGCTTGTTTTCTTGGTGTCCTCCATCCCCACTGGCTCTTTTCTGCCTCCTTTCCCGAAGAGTTTCCTGAGTTGTGAGGCGAGGGATTTGCTGGAGCCATCCCATTTAGGGATGTTTCAGGGTCTCTCACTCTGCATAATATCTGTTGGTCTCTGTATTTGTTCACATATTTGTTCCTGGTTATAGCAGCCTAGATTGAAGCTTAGCAGAAGAATAATGAAAGGCTGTATTTATTTTGCCATGAACTAATAACAACAGCTGTACCGAATTTTGTGGGTTAGGCTAATTGCTGTGCCCTGGGTGATGCCAGGCAGCCCACTAGATCTGGTGAAGGCCTGTGGTCTTAGAATGCCCACGTTTGGGAATGCCACCGGAGAGCCTTCTTTATGTCCCTTCCAGGTCTGAACATGCATATCAATTGAACTTCCCAGAGCTGACTCTTAAGGTCCCACTGCTGATGTTCCTCACTTTTGTGTGCCATAGGATTCTTAACCCTCAACCTTTTGGTTTCATGTTACATAGAAACAACATGAACTCTGTGCTAATGCCCTACAAACCTACTGGGTTAAGGCTGCTTTGTCCTGGAAGAAGCAGAGGAGTAGAGGTTCAGGGCTTCCCCTCACCCAGTCCACAGAGGTAATGGTTTGTAGTCTTACTGAGCTCCTGCAGACTCTTTGAACACTCCTCTCTTAAGTCTCCAGCATTACAGACAGAAGAATGGACAGATTGCCAGAGTTCTTTCACATCCACAATGCCCTGATGTCTACTCTTAACCACTGCTTATTCTGAGGTCTTCTAAGTAGGAGGCTTCTAAGGAGAGCAGTCTGAGTTTCTAGCTGGGTTCTAAGAACTCTCTCTTTCTCTCTCTCTCTCTCTCTCCCTCTCCCTCTCTCTCTCTCTCTCTCTCTCTCTCTCTCTCTCTCTCTCTCTCTCTCTCCCTCTCAAGATTGATTTGATTATCTTTATTTATTTAAGTTTTAAAATTATAAGGGCATAAGGGTGTTGAACCTGCATGTATGTGTGAACATCACATGTGTGTAGTGCCTAAGGAGGCCAGAAGAGAGAGTCAGATACCCAGGGACTGGGATTATAGACAGTTGTTTGTGATCCTCTATGTGGGTACTGGGCAGACTCAAACTCAGGTACTCTGGAAGAGCAACTAGTGCTCTTAACTGCAAAGCCATCTCTCCTGCCCCAATTTATTTTATTTTGTTTATGTGTGTATGTCTGTGTAAGTGTCTGCTATGTGTGTGCAGGTGTTCTTGGATACCAGCTGGAAGTACAGGCAGTTGTAATTCACCCAACATAGGTACTGGAAAGCGAACTTCAGTCCTCTGGAAGAGCAGCAACAAGCACTCTTACCCACTGAGTTCTACCTATAGTCTCTTGACCATAATTTCTTAATGGTTGTGACACTTGTTTGTAGGTCCAGCATTGTCTGGAGACTGAATAAGGGAAGTTGCAGGCTAGTCTCAGCAAATGTGGCTGTGATAAATCAAGTACACTTCCCTCAGTTCCCTCAAGCTTTTGGTGTCTGTAGTTATTTATTTTTTTATATTTTATTTTCCAGTTTAAATTTAGATAAGAAACGAGGTTGCTTCACAAGTCAGTTCCAGGTCCCTCTCCCATTCCCTCCCCTCCTCCTGTGCCCTCCCCCAACCCCCCTCCATTATCCCCTCAATCCCCCAGGGAGGGTGAGGCCCTCCATGGGGGTGTCCATAGTCTGTCATTTCATATAGGGCAGGGCCTAGACCCTTCCCCAAGAGTTCAGGGTGAAATTCTCCACATACAATCATTGTCACATGCTATTGTCTGTAAAGTGTACTCATCTGTGAACAGGTTGGTGATTCCCAATCTGTAGTATTCACATGATCTTTTGGAGCAGCGATTTCTTTTTCTTACTCGGGGTTGAAAATTTGAATTATTTTTTCCTTCACATATGAATGTTTATGATAGGTCTTTTAAAATACCAAGATATTCTTACCTTGTGCATAGTACAGCTCATTAGTATTACAACCTCAACTTGAAGCCAGTGTCATGGTCAAGAGATAAGACACAGGGCAAGGTATTGGAATGGCTAACTTTTAGGTTCCTGTCATCCAGGAAGAGCTGCTCAGTACAGCTGAGTGGTAGAGTATGCACTTAATAGGTACTAAAGTATGGGCAGGTTCCTGTCTTGGCAGGAGAGGCATGTGTATTTGGAATCTCTTGAACAGATAAAATTTCATGTGTGTGTGAATTTCTAGTTCCTTTTAAAAAGAAGATACTATAGTTTGAGAATTTAAGGTTGTCTCTTTTGAAAGTTCTTTGTGAAAGCAGCATTTATGTGAATTACCTTTTATAATTCTAGAGGAATTTCCTTAAGTTATGAACTTTGGTGTCCTCTGCTCTTTGCATTGAGAAATGAAATGGTATCTAAAGTAAACATACAATAATATTATTATTAATTTTCTTTCATTGTGTGCTTTCTATGGCCTAGGGTGGGCCTTAGGTGAACATGGAGAATGGGCTAAATACAGCAATTTTGATGTCACTACGCGTGTGCCCCTGATGTTTTATGTTCCTGGAAAGACAGCCCCACTTCCTGGACCAGGCGAGAAGCTTTTCCCTTACCAGGACCCTTTTGATCCCACTTCAAAATCGATGGATTCAGGTATAAACACACAGAAGTGACAGTGCCTATCAGTGAGAATACCTTTGGTTTATATGTGAATTACCTTATCAGACAACAAACTGTCCCTCTTTGTGGTGTGTTGGAATTCATTCTCAATATTGTTTAGTTTTCCTATATTTTTCAGCATCTCCCATTACTAGGTTGGGAATGCATAGCAGAGACAGAGTTGACAAGAATGGCCACTCTAAATTGGGGCCCTTGGGAGGTCTAGAGACCCAGAGGAGCAAGAGACATTCCCAAGGTGGGAATGGCTGTTTGGAGGTTACAAAAACATGTCAAACCTTAGAGGAAGTGGTTGTAGACTGCTGAGAAAAAGTCTCCCCACCATATGAGTGGAATGTTTCACTTGTACTCTTTTTTGGTGGACCCAGTGCTTACTAAGATATTTTCCATTTTGGAGCTCATTGACCTAATGAAACAGTAGGTTAATCTGCTCTGTACTCCCCAGCAGCAAAGGGCATTTACTTTGATTTCTACGTGTTATTCCTTCAAAGTCTTGAAAACGAGGCACTCTTTCTGCCCATGTGAAGTGGCAGCTGTACGTTCTTGAAAGTTGTACCCTGACTTTGTCTGTCTAGTGTACTTTCAAACACCAGTTATATATTTCCAATGACATTTCTTTTTGCAGAATGCTTTTCTGTGAACAATGCTAAATCAGGTTGCCCCTCTTCTAGATTGATTGACCCCTGACTCCACCTTTAACACCTAAGTCTTGCACTTTATGTTCATTGCTGTGTAAATTTTACATCATCATTCTGGCCTTTCTGGATTTTTCAGTTTGCTTATATCATCCAATTTTCTTTTTGCACATTTAATTTCTTATGTTTCATGTTCTATTTCCCAACACCAAAAAAGGTTAAAGTACTTCAATGCATGAGTTTAACTCTTTATTGCTGAAACAAATCTGGTAGGTGAGAGTCCTTTTTCAACCTTGTTGGAAGATACTAGGCAATTTAGAAATCCGTGTATTGTAATGCCATCCATTTTTTTCCAACTGTAATCTCTAGTCTTCATCTTTTATCTGAATTTGAACTTGTATTTCAAATCATTTGTCCCACTTGCCTAGTCAGTCTTAACATGCCTGAAGCTGAACTTGCTCTGATTCACCTACATTCTTGCCTTTGACTCTTCTCCTTAGAAATGGCATTGTAATTTAGGCCCCCAAACCAAAAACACATTAACCCTCCCCCTAAAAGCCCCAACCAGCCAAGCAAGCAAGCAAGCAAGCAACCAACTAACCAAAGAAACAAATAAAATATCCTGTAGACAGAGAATTGTAATCATGGTTACTCAGAGGCTGAGGCATGAAGATCGCATGTCAAAACCTGCCTGAGATACAGAGTGATTTCAAGGTCAGCCTCTGTAACTAACTGAGACCTCATCTCAAAAAATAAAACTCAGGTTCAGGATCTAGCTCCATGGTAGAGTGTTTGCCTAGCATGCATGAAGCCCTGGTTTTAATCCCTGGTAATGATAAAAGGAAGTTCTGAGTCTTTTCAGCCCATCTTTTGTATTCCACATGCTATGCAGTTGTCAGCAAGCCTGCTCCTTGCCATTCAGAATCTGTCTCTGCCCATTCTCACCAATTCCACCCCCACCAGCCTTTTGCTGTAGCAACTTTCCGAAGTCTCCTTGTTTGTGCCATTGGCTCCCTAGAGTGCTTCCTTCTCATAGTATTGTAAGTAACCATTTTCAAACTCAAAGCAGAGGTATGGTTGTAGCTCAGTGGTGGAGTTCATATCTGGGATGGACTGAAACCCTGACTTCTATCTCTAGTACTACATAGGTGAAAGTTAAAACCAAAAACAGAACCTCAAAAATATAGCCTTACTTAGGAGCCTCTCACTGAGTAAATGTCTTTACAATGGCTATCAAGGCCTGACCTGACTGCCTCCTCCTCCTCTCTTGGAATTCCTCTTGACAAGTATCCAGACCATTCTTTCTGTGCAGTATCCCACAGTCTTAATTACCCTGGCTGGATTGAGGGTAAATACTTTTTTTCAATGATGCACACATGTGGTCATGCTGTTTTCTACTTTCATAATCGTGTTTTTTTTTGTATGAGAGGCTTTTTCTAGGGAGATGCAACATGCACACACATCTATTCACCCCCAGAAAGGGAACCCATGACAGACCAAAGTAACAATTGCACCAAAGCCCAACTTGGTGAATCAGTTTTATTGTGATTACTAGTAGGAGTATGGGTGAGGGGATACTCACAGGAGTGCTGATGGCTCAGAAGCACCCAAATTCTGCAAAGCCCACATCAACATGTTAATGACTCATAAAAGCTGTGTCCCAAGAGTTTTTACAGGGAGTTTGACACTTCTAAGAGATGGCCGGTGAACAGCTGGGCTGGTCAGTCTTCTTCTCCAGCAGTTGTTTTCTGCTCTCAATCTATGGATGGATATATATATATATATATATATATATATATATATATATATATATATACTTTGTGATGCATATATACAGTAGAATATTATTAATCCTTTAAAAGGAAGGAAATGTCAGTGTATCCTAGAGAATGGATGAGCCTTGATGACTCATTATGTTAAATGAAATAAACTAGGCACAAAGGATCAAATGTGGTCTGAGACCACTCACATGTGATACTTCTAGTAGTCTAGTAGTCAAATTCATAGTGTTAGAAAGTAGAATGGGTGTTACCAGTTGATGGTGGTAGAAAATGGACAGCTGTTGTTTGGTCTTAGTGAAGGGTTAGGTGCTGAGGTGGTGGGGACAGAGATATAAAATGAATTGTAGAAGATGGTGGTGCTGACACAATGTGAATACATGTATTGTCACTTAAAAGTAGTTAAAGTTATGAATTTCATGTTTTGGGTATTTTACCATATTAAAAAGAAAATATGGATCAAATGCAAATACTTAGAAATGAGTATCTTCAACAAACTTTTACACCGTGTGTAGAACTTTAATTGATTCAACTTGTCAGGATCAATTTTTTGAGTCCAAAATTTAAGCAGTTTAAAAATGCTGCCAACAGGCTGCTAACACCTTAATTTTATATTCTGTTACTACATTGGATGCACCATTAGTGAAGAGAGAAGTTCTGGAGAGGCAGCATTTACAAGCTTCTTTTGCTAAAAATTGCATGTTGTATATGAAAATGAAATGCGGAACAGGTGGTGCTCAGATAGTCTTCTGGTTTGGCTGGCTCTGCAGTATACTAAATCCAACTGTGTTTCTTCCTGTTTCAGGTAGGCACGTCGTGGACCTTGTGGAACTTGTATCTCTCTTCCCCACGCTTGCTGAACTTTCAGGACTGCAAGTTCCTCCTCGATGCCCCATCCCTTCTTTTCATGTTGAGCTGTGCAGAGAAGGCCAGAGTCTCCAGAAGCACTTGCAGCTCCATGACTTTGAAGAGGAGCTGCACTTCCTTGGTAATCCCCGGGAGTCAATTGCCTATAGTCAGTACCCCAGGCCTGCAGATTCCCCTCAGTGGAATTCTGACAAGCCAAGCTTAAAAGATATAAAGATCATGGGCTACTCTATACGCACCATAGACTATAGGTATACTGTGTGGGTTGGCTTTAATCCTGCTGAATTTCTGGCTAATTTTTCTGACATCCATGCAGGAGAACTCTATTTTGTGGATTCTGACCCGCTGCAGGATCACAATGTGTATAATGACTCCCAGCATGGAGGCCTTCCCCACTCATTGAATCCTTGACTTCTGCCAGCCTAACAGACAAATGTGGCAGACAAATCTTTTTTCATTTAGTTCTTAAGTTATAGTTGATCATTTGATTTAGGCTAGGGTGAAACTCTTCCATTTTAAAAGCACTCAGAGCTGAGGTTAAATAAGTACGAAGTGAACTTACCAAAATGTAATCATACCTTTGTATATAAAATCCATGCTAGCCCAAAATAATACTTTACTCAAGAAATAATTTACTTGTTGAATTTAGTGTATTTCAAAAAGTAACCATATATCTTAGGTAGCTCAGTGTAGTCAAAACATGTTAATATGATTCATTTCTTTCTCAAATGTGAAATTAAGTAATAATTCTAGAAGCAACATCTATATGGTCTATGCTCAATTTTTGTTTCTAATACTACAGATTTTAAAATCAAAGATAAAATACACATGGGATTGTTAATGTAGCATTTCTTCATTAAATAATAAATAAATAATGCTTAGTAAAGTATAGGTAAAGGTAAGAAATTCAGTTAACTATTTCAATACTTGCTGGTCCAAATAATAATTTGTTAGTTAATAGTAAAACTCTTGAACTCAGTGGCTATCTGTTAAAAAAATCTGTTCTTCAGAATGAAAACCATTTAACTATACCCATGGCTTGAATCATTCAAAATCATATTCATATTCATATTTAGAGAATTGCAGATACCCATTTATGTTGACGGCAGGAGCTATTGTTTTACTTTTTGGTAAAGGAAACATAGATTTATGAAATGTAAATTATCTTGTGGCTTGTGGAAACATCTCATTAATAGGGTACAAGTAATTTTTAGAATGTAGTTCTGCATTTCTTGCATATTCCCTAAATAGGAAAGTAACAGGAAAGGTATGTAATAGGGATAAAGGTATTTCATTACCATTGTTAAAGAAAAGTCAATTTTATAATGTGACAAAACTGTTCAGTTATCAGTAGTCAACAGCTTTCCAACATACAGTGTATTTAGTCTTGTATTAAATGAGTAATTTCAATAATTTTCTCCTTAAAATGCCTCAGCGTTTCAAGGCAAATGTTTTTAAAACAGAATATAACAAATAGATAATTAAATTACTGGCACGTATTAAATTGTAACCCAAAGGCTAAGATATTATTTTTAAGTTTGTAAAATCTCAAAGACAGGTTGTTTTTATTAATTGGCCTACTATAGATAGGTAGCTGACAGTACAGTGATTTTCCTGAGGAGTTTCAATTTGGATATCGATGGTCCCTTTCATCTCTCCTGATCCCCAAATTTGCCTCTCGTCTAGAAACTGGCTTTTGTAGATGATTTATTTCAGCCTTTCATGTTCTTTATCTTATTGCTCTCATTGTATTAACTCAGTGCCATTTTTACAATTTAGTTTAGAATTTCTTTGTTTGTTTGTTTTTTAAGACACGGTTTCTCTGTGTAGCTTTGGAGCCTGTCCTGGGACTTACTCTGTAGACTAGGCTAGCCTTGAACTCACAGGGATCCATCTGCCTCTGCCTCTGCCTCTGCCTCTGCCTCTGCCTCTGCCTCCGCCTCTGCCTCTGCCTTCTGGGTGCTGGGATTAAAGGTGTACGCCACCACTGCCCAGCTGTTTAGAAGTTCTTAAATAGCATGTTTTTATTTTGCTTAGCTTCATCTCCCACTCCATAGTTATAGGGACAGATTTTGACACAGGTTTTTATTTTACATAAAATTATTGTTACTGTTTGACCATAGTGTATACATTTCATAGTATATACATTTCATTTTTAAAATTTTATGTCCTGAAGTACTTTTAGTGTCAATCCCCTCCAAATTCTGCTTCTGGTGAAGTCATAAGCCCAGTGGTGCCATCCACTTAGTAGTCACAAGACATATGTGAGTATTTAAATTTATTTTATTGACATGAAATAACAAATTAAACTATTTCTGGTACATCATAATTCAAGTGCTCAGTAGCTAGACTTAGAACCTTTCCATCATAGCAGACAGTTCCACAGGACAGAGCTGCCCTGGATTTGAGCTGGATGTGTTGACCTTGATTGGCAGGTTCCTGCAATGCCCAAACTGTATTTGGTTTATGCATAGAATAGAGAGTTTGCTGTGGCCATCAGCCTCTTCCTTTCATTCTCATCGTCATTGCCTCTGTCCTTCTCCCCCTCCTTCCTAAGTAGTTAACCTCCCCCCCTTTTCCTCCCCTGTTCCTTAAGGAATCCATGTGTCTTCCTAAAAATCCATCTTGACCCTGCCCTTTGAGAACACCGTCAGTGCCTACTAAGGGTCTTGAAAGACCTCCGCTGAGCAGTCAGAGTCTTCCCTGGCTCCACAATGCCCCTTCCCTTGGTTGACTTTCCCTTGCCATCCCTGCCTCCCTGTCCCTCCTAGCTTGTTCCCTCTCTTCTTGGCTCCAACCCCTTCATGACCATTCTTCATAGCTTGGCTCCCCTGACCCCGCTGCTGAGAGGCTGAGGCTGTCAGGACTTTCTTGACTGTGTTGTGGGGGAAAGTGAACATGTCTCACAAATCTCCTATTTACTTCACTTTTAAAAAGGTATTTTTTCCTTAGTATGAATTTTGATGTGTTAATTATAGAAAAATTGTAAATCAGAAATGCAATGAAAGGTGGAAAAATGTCTGAGTTCTTTATCCTGAGACTGAGATTGTCACTTAATATCTTGTCCTTTTGGGAGTATGAATGTTTTATATTTCTTGATTCTCTGTGTTCTTTATAATACAATTTCTGTCCTTACTTTTCTCTAAATATTATGTATGGTTATTAGTGACATTTGCAGATATTTTATATTGCTGGTAATATATTTTATTGCGTAGATTTATTAGAATTTGCTTAACTTTCTTTCAATTGTTGGAAATTTAGGTTATTTCCAAAATTTTAGTATTACAGATAATTCTGTGATCAACTTTGTGAGTAAAATGTTTTTATTATTCAAAATATTCCCATAGGATAGTCCCTCAGTGCCAAGTCATCAAAAACAGTTCCATTTTCTCCTCACTCTGTTGCTACTATAACATACTAAAGTTAGAAAAGGGAGTCAACAAACCTATCAGTAAGAACCATAACCAAGAAAGAAAGTCTGTAGTCCTACAATAACAGGTGAAAGGTGTATCCTGCTTTGACTTTTGATTCTTTACTTATTAATGACACAAGCCATTATTCTCTCTGTGTGATAGTTGGGTATTTGCATTTCTAGTTGTCTAACTTTGTGTGGTCATATTATGGGTCTGTTAATGAAATGAAATAAATTGTTCTTTTCTGGTGTGATAGTTTTTCCTGCATATTTGTATTAACCATAGAACGACTCCATTTGGGAATTGAATAAATACTTGTTTTCCTTTGAATTTTTAAGGGGTCTTAGTGTTATTGACTTTCCACCTCCTTTTAAGAATAATGTATGTTAGTTGTGTGAAATGGTAAAAAATTAAAAAAATGATGAATCTACAAAGAAACCCACTTTCTTAGTTGCTTTTTTGAAATTTTATTTTATGCATATGAATATTTTGCCTTAATGTGTCTCTGTACACCATGTACATGCCTGATGTTATCAGAGACCAGAACAAAGAGTTGGATCCCCAGGAACTGCAGTTACAGACTGTTATTAGCTGCAATGTGGGTCCTGGGAATTGAACCAGGTCATCTGGAAGAGCAGTTATTGCTCTTAACTGCTGAGCTATCTCTCCAGCTCCCTTAGCTTCTTTATCATTTGTGACAACATACATCGCCAAAGGGAGGAAGTCTTGTTTAACTCCCAGTCCATCATGAGGCTGCAAGCAAAGGTATCAGGATCTTGGGTCCCCTGGTCATATTCTACTGATAGTCAGAAGAGAGTAATGAGTATGTGTGTGCTAATGCTCTGCTCACTCCGTACAGTCCAGGATCCTCAGACAGAGAATTGTCTTGCTCGTAGTTAAGATGGATTTGCTGCACATTAGTTAATGGAATGAAGATAATCCCTCGTGGACATGCCCAGAAGTCCATCTCCTGGGTGATTCATATCAATTTTTCAGAATATAGCTTATGTTGACATCTGTGTGTATTTCTACTCCTTTTTTGTGTGCAAATCTATATGTGTAGATAAGGATATTTTGTCTTTTCATTAAGTTGAGTGTACCACATTGTCTGTGTCTTAATTGTTATCTAGTGTATTATCAGCATTTTTTGGGAGACAAGACTTTATTATATTGCCCAGACTGGCCTCAAGCTCAGTATATTCTTACCTTTACAGATGGGGGTTGTCACAGCTTAGATAACAAGATCAAAAACCAAGGGCGTTGTACAATCTAAGCAGCTACTATAGAACCAAGCCACTCTCAAGCTTTAGCATGGTTTTTCACAGTAGTTGACTAATAATTACAACTACCCTTCCCTTTCCCAGTTCCTCCTCCCCATCTTCCACCACATCAACTCTTCTTCCACTGGTCTTCCTTAGATACAGGTGGGCCTCCCACAGCCAGCTATGGTATATCATGTTGCAGTAAGACTAGGTACGTCCTCTCTTAGTAAGGCTGGATGAGGCAACCCAGGAGGAGGAAAGGATCCCAAAACCAGGGAACACAGAGACAGTCCTGCTCCCACTGTTAGGAGGCAGTCTCATGGGAAGACCAAACAATTGTCATATATATGCAGAGGCACCAGGTCAGACCCATTACCGGTTCCTTGATTGTCAATTCAGACTCTGTGAGCCCCCATGAGCCCAGGATAGTTGAGTTTGTGAATTGTCTTGTGTCCTTGATGCCCTGGCTCCTACAATCCTTTCCCCCCCACTCTTCTGTAGGATTCCCCAAACTCTGCCTAATGCTTGGCTGTGGGCCTCTGCATTTGTTTCCATCAGTTGCTGGATGAAGCCTCTGATGACAATAGGGTTATGAGTATAGCAGAATACCATTAGGAATCATTTCATTGAATTTTGTTGCCATTTGCGTTTGGTTCTATGCTAGTTCTCTAGGGAGGGTATCCTGCCTCTGTGTCCAGACCCTCAAGAGTAAGCTCCCTTTCAGAGTATGGGTCTCTAGCTGAGCCAGTCATTAGTTGGTCACTCCCACAATTTTTGTAGCATCTTTACCCTGGTACGTCTTGCAGGTTGAAGGGTTTATGGCTGAGTTGATGTCCCTACCCTGGAAGGCTTGCCTGGTTATATATAGGAGGTGGGTGGTTCAGGCTCTATATTCCCCATTGCTAAAAGTCTTATCTAGGGTCACCCTCCTAGATTCCTTGGAGTTTCCATTTCTCTATGTTTCTAACTCATCCCAGAGATGCCCCCAGATTCCAGTTGTACTCTCTCCCTCCATCCTCCCCCAACCTGATTCCTTCTGTTGCCCTCACTACCCTTTTCCAAACCCTTCCTCTGTCCACTGGCAATATACATTCTGTTTCCCCTTCATAATGAGATTCATGCATTTCCCCCCATCTCTTGAGCCCTCCTTGTTACTTAGCTTCTCTGGGTCTGTGGATTGTAGCATGGTTATTTTTTACTTTATAGCTAATATTCATTTATGAATAATACATACTATGCTTGTCTTTCTGGGTCTGGATTACCCCCTTAGGATGATCTTTTCTAGTTCTAGCCATTTGCCAGCATATGTCCTGATGTCACTGTTTTTAACCGTGTTTAACCATTGTTTTAACCAAGTAAATGTACCACGTTTTCTTTATCCATTCTTTGACTGAGTGACATCTAGGTTGTTTCTAGTTTCTGGCTCTTACAAATGAAGCTGCTATGAACATAGTTGTGCAAGTGTCCTTGTGGTATGGGAGAGTGTCCTTGGGCATATGCTCAAGATTGGTATAGCTGGGTCTTTATGTATATTGATTCCCAATTTTCTGAGAAGCAAACATATTGATTTCCCAAGGGGCTGTACAAGTTTGCATTCCCACCAGCGCCGGAGGAGTGTTCCCTTTTCTCCACATCCTCTCCAGCATAAACTGTTGTTGGTGTTTTGATTTTCACCATTCTGACAGGTATAAGATGGTATCTCAGAGTTGTTTTGATTTGCATTTCTCTGATAGATAAGGATGTTGAACAGTTTCTTAAGTGTCTTTGGGCCATTCCTCTATTGAGAAATCTTTATTTAGATCTGTACAGCATTTTTATATGAGATTATTTGGTGTTTTGGTAACTAGCTTCTTGAGTTCTTTGTATGTTTTGGAGATGAACCCTCTTCCAGATGTGGGGTTGGTGAAGATCTTTTCCCATTCTGTGTAGGCTATCCTTTTGTCTTGTTGACTGTTTCCTTTGCCTTACAGAAGCTTCTCCATTCCAGGAGGTCCCATTTATTAATTGTCAACCTCTGTGTCTGTGCTACTG